AAAAATTTCAAATCCATTTCAAGGGTCAAATGCTGAGCATTGGCATCAAATTTATATTCAAAAGTGAAAATTCAAATTTACATTCAAAGGCAAATAGAGTACAGAAAAGGAGTAAAAGCAAAAACATAAGGAGTTACATTTTAAAGTTGCTACACTTCAAAGATTACACTTCAAAATTGTGAGTCAGAAGAAGCTCAGAGTTACAAAAATTTTACATTCCAAAAATCCTAAGTTTCTGAAGATGGAGTAAAAGAAGGGCTCTGCAACTTAGTAGTAGAAAGCCTCAATAGCAGGAGTAGGAGGGGAGCCTAGAAGTTCAGCAGAAGAAGTAACTGGCAAATTCTCATTTGAAGTCTCTAAGAGAGAAGGGGCTGGAAGCTCGGTAGTAGGATTCTCTGTAAGCCCAGAAGCAGGTAGGGGAAGAGAAGTCTCAGGAATCTCTAAGGCGGGGACATCGACCTCTGCTGATAGTGAGTTCAGGGCCAGAGCTTTAGAGACAAGATCGACGGAGAAAGGGGCAACCTCAGGAGCAGGAAGAGGCATGTCGCTGGCCTCAAAGTTAGCTGCCTTAGTCGTTTCCTCAATGGGGGGATCAAAGTTGAAATCTTGTCTAGGGTAGATCTCTTCAACCCTGTCTTGAAAGGTGAGCCACCCCGAAGACCACTGAGTAGCGACGTCGTCAGCTAGCTTGGCAATCAGGTTCTCTTTCTCCCTACCAGTTGCCCTCTGCACCTCGAACTTGTCTTGAAGAGCGTTATTCGCCTTAGTAAGGAGGTCATACTCACTCTTCATATTCTGGAAAGAGCTCAAAGCCTAAAGGTACTTCTGACTGACTTTAATCCAGTCATCTGTTTTCTGCCTGAGCTCCTCTGAGGTCTTCCTGAGCTCATCCTTAGTCTTTTTGAGCTCTTCCTTGCACCTTTTGCTCTCACTCTCAATCCTCTTCTTCTTGACTTCCAAGTCCCTACTTAGGGAAGTCTGTCTCTCCACTTGCTCCTACAAATCTTGGACTTGGGCCTTGAGGTCGCTATTTTCAAAAGATAACTCTACAACCTTGAGCTCGAAAGCTCTAGAAGCCTGGACAGAACCTTCCATAGCCTGGATCCTTTCAGCACTCCGCTCACATGGATAGCCATCTGAGAGTGAGCACAACCCAGTGAAGCTTAGGTCAGAATGATCAAATATTGCAGGACAAAAATACATACATATATAACAAATCTTACGGAAGTGACAACAAAGAGGGCAGTGGATATGGAAGTCCCAAGAGGCATAGTAGAAGCCCGATGAATGTCAGATTCAGAGACAATGGAAGCAATGGCCTTTGTAGCTCGCTTCACATTATCAATCAGAGAGCTCGAAATTGCCCCAACACTCACCCCTTTTTCACTCTTACAGATCTTAGGGGGTTTTTAAGATGGTCCCTCAGTTGGACAGGGAGGAATGGATCCCGACAGAATGCGAGAAACCATCTCCAAAGCTCTATCAACCTTTATTGAAGAGGGAGAAGTGGGGATCAAACCTTGCTTAGGAGCCCCACCAGAAGGAGGCAGCCCAATCTTTAGGAGATAGGGGTCTGCACAACCTTCGAGGAGCCTGAGGAAGGTTGGGGCCCCGCCTGAGTCGATTGAGGTGAAGCAGGGGGCGTATCTAGTCTTAAAACTTTGGCTAGGGAGGTTGAGTCACTCCCTGAGCAGACCTCAACCTTACACTTATTTCCATTCCGATTCTTCCTCATCAAGGGTAGTTTGACAGTGCGATCCTTTGAGGTGGGCTCCATTGAGGAAGAACCTGGAAACTTAAGGAAGAACCAACATTAAAAAAAAAATAAAGAAAAGAGATAGAGAGAGGGAGGAGGCAAAGGTGCAAGAGTAAAAGCCAAGATGGAAAGAGCATTACCTGCCAGTTCCTTAGCACTGATAGCAGAAAGGGGAGATGGATTCTCGATTCGCACCTCGGGTGGGCTAAGTTCGAGCTTTACAAGAATCTGAGGTTTGAGGAGATCGAAGTACCTCTTTAAATTACAGTCCGCTAAGGATAGCATAATTAGCTTGTCCTCAGCACTGAGCTCAGGTCAAATACCTGAAAAGCAAAGAGAAAAGAGCTCAAAAAAGCCGACCATCAAGACCAACCTTATCTAGCTCTAGCAAAAACTCACCCAGGTTGTCAGGGGCAGACCAGGCTCTAGGGACCAAAAGAGTATTTGTCTTGTCCGCAGGATTGTTTTCCCATTGATTGCCTCCCACAAAGAAGAAGAGTTTTTTTCAACCTTTATAAGAGCTGGGGAGGTCAGAAATGATGACTTTGACTTTCACTCGTTTGGAAATATAAAGAAAACCATCAGAGGGGGTATATTTGACATTGAAGAATTTCATGAGAAAAGGAATTGAGGGGACTCCTAAGCTATGTTTCTTGAAGAAGACGAGGAGGCCTACCAATACGTCCCAGAAATGGAGAGAGTTGAGCAGGGTAGACATTGAAGTGTTGTAGGACACCCTTAATAAAAGAATGTAAGGGAAAACGGAGGTCATTCTCAAACGTAGCTACAAAGAAGCAGACCTTCTTATGAACTTGGGAGACATATGTCGGGGCACCAGTATTGGACATCCGGGGGAAAATCGAAACGAGCGGCTAAGACCTTCAGTTGAGGAGGAGTGACCTCACTAGCACCTATGAGCTCAACAACCCTGTAGGCAGCCCCCATGCCCTAGACATTACCCAAAACTCCTATGCCACTCACCTTGGCTTTGCCTTTATCGGTGATCTTGGGCATGGGGGAAGATGTAGAGAGGGGTTCCTTGGCCATTTCCTTGGCCTCAGAAGAATCGACTCCAAGGAAGTTATTAATCTCAACGCCCATATCTCCTAAATCAGAATCTCCTTCGGCAAACCTGTCTCCCATGAGGGAAACATACGAAGAGGTAGCTCCAGAAGAAGCAAACATAACTGAGAAAGAATAGAGAAACCTAAAGATACGATAAAGGGGAGGAACGCTAGAGGAACACTCTCTAAGAGTCTAGGGGGCAACACAACAACTGCCAATAAGGAAAACCCTAGCAGTTGAATAAGGATCCAAGAAGAGGAAATACGAGGCAAAGATCGACCTCGGTTCCTAAAATAATAGAATCGAAAGGTCCAAAAATGCAACAACCACCTCAGATATGAGGGATCTAGAACGAAGGAGCACGAAAAGGGTAGGAAATGTACCTAATCCTTCAAAGCAAAGAATGGAGATGCAAACCACGCTAAGCCTTCAGGTCAAATTAGGGGAAATCGTCTTTTTATGAAAACCTTAAGAGTAATAGCAAATAGGGGAAGACGAAATCGCAAGGAGGTAAGGAGGAAAATCTAGAGAGAATTCGAAGAGTGAGGGGGGAGCCATTGATCCAGAAGCATTTAAAGCTAAGGTACTGGGGTCTCGAAGTGGGCAACGGGCACAAGAAACGAAAAGAGAAATGATTATTGGTAACCGTCAAAAAAAGATTCACGAACATCGAGATCATTGAACGAAGCTTCTGTTTAAGTTTAGCCCCTTGTTCAAGCTTGCTCGAACCAAGAGCTGGGGGGCAACTGATGGTGCATGAATAAGGAATTTCTATTTAGTGTGAGCTCGGGAGGCGAGGTCGGATAATGAGCTCAGAGCTCTGAAGCCCAAGTCCCAAGCTCCTCTCCTATGGAAATTCATGGAAGTCAAGGAAAGAATAGCTGTGCAACAAGAGGCGTACGCAAACAACAAAGGGGGGAGTGATCAAGGCGAGAAACTACCCAAGATCTCCTCCTTAAATCAAGGAAAATCCCGTATTCGAAGAACAAGGATCTCGCCGAAGATCCCTTAATAATACAAATTGCTCTATAAATACTGTAGAACCCCTCAATTCAGAGGAGAAACAAAAAGAGAGAAAAACAAAAGAAAAAAAACTCTAGATTCACTAACATTCCTTTGTAAACCACTCCCTTTATTAATAAAGCAGAAAGGAGCAGGAGCCTCTATTAAAGAGTGGACTAGCCAAACACCTTAGCTAGTGAACCACTATAACTTCACTGTGTAAATTACCCTAATCCCCCAGTAATTACAACGCGGATCTTACGAAGCCTTGTAGTTCAGATCCAAGTCATCAAGCATAACTCATTCCCTCTGCTCATTCACTCGAATTCACGCCATCATATATTATATAAAGTCATCCGGATATATTTCTAATCTCCTTACCTTCTATTCATCAGAATTTTAGCTTTGATCAATTCAAGGTGAAAAAAGGTGTTGGCTAAAAAAGGAGAGACGAGAGCCATGGGGTACCCTTACGTTTTCTTTAAAGGATGGTTGTTTCCAAGTCCACCTCTTGGTTATCATCGCACGATCACTTCTTTTTGCATTAAGCGATTGCTTACGGACCTAAGAGTATGATCTGGGTCCAAGGTTGACTAACCTATGACCTACTCTGATGAAGACCTCAAGGGAATCCATTTCCCGCATGATAACCACCAGTCATCATGGTGATTGCATCAAATCATACCATCAGAAGTGTCTTGATCAGTTGGATATTTGAATGCAGAAGTAAAAACCCATCTGAGATCCACTCATTGGATTGTCGGAAGAAAGAGCTTACCCATTTGGGGTAGTCTCTATTCCCATAACCATAGGGCAGAGTCCCACATAGATCACCCACATGGTAGACTTTCTGGTGCTTTGTTGCCCATCGACATACAATATCATCCTTAGGCGACTAAATTTGAATTGCTCGAATGCCATACCTTCCACGTATCACCTCATCCTTTGAGTATTTAATGCTTCTTAAATTATGCGCCAATAGAATGTTCTTTCTTGGTGCCACAAGACTTCTAGCCGGATGAATTGTTGTTCTGCCTTAGGTTGGAATTGCCTATAAATAGGCATTGATTCTCCGATTTTAGAATTGGTGAATATGAGGAATTGGGTAAGAATTTCATGTATTGGGTTCAAATTTGTTTGTTTTTTGTTTGAGGCGGAGGTGGTGAAGTGTTGGGACATGGGTGGTAGAGGCGGTGCGCAGTGAAGTAGTGGTGTTGGTGGTGAGTGGGGTTGAGGTGCTTGTGGTGATTTTGTAGTTGAAGTGAAGAAGACAGTAAGGTAAGAATATATTTTTGTCATCGTTGTAAAAGGTATTAGCAGTTCAATTTTAGTTCAAAACATATGGGAATTATATGCTAGAAAACCAAACTACATTGGTGTCAAAACACTGGGAATTCTTATTAATTAATATTTTTGGGTTTGTAGAACTTCACCTCTCACTTGTCTAATTTTTGTGTTCACTTGATGTCTATCACCATCGTAAGTTAATTGGCAGGTGTTTGGACCAAGCTGCATTAAAAGAATCTGCCACCAGTCAAAATGAACAAGAAACGAAGGAAAACGTTTTCACTGATACAGAGGTGGAAAAAAAAAAGGGTATTTTCAGATTGATTCCCATGCTTCTAGTTTTCATGGCGTATTGTGTTGTAGAAGCCACGGGAAGCACCTTCTTCTTTGAACAAAGCACCAACCTAGATTCTAAAGTCGACGGATTCAAGGTCCCTCTTTCTACTTTTTATTTGATACAGATTCTTGCAGACTTCACAACCGCAAGTTTTTATGAGTATGGAGTCCGGAAGTGGTGGTCTAAACACCAAGTGAAAGTTATGAAAGTGAGAATTGTTCTTGGAATAGGGTGCTCTTTTTTATGCTGTGGTACTGCTTGGCTGGTAGAGGTTCGCAGGTTGGGTTTGTTAAAGTTGGTTGATCAAACAAAGGAACTCGAAAATACAACCATTAACATGAGTATATGCTGGTTAATGCCCCAGTTCTTCTTATTGGGATTGACGGAAGGACTCACTGAAGATGGGCTTGAAGATTTTTTCTGTTATCTGCTACCTGCATCCATGGAGGCCTATGGACCGTCATTCAACCAGACAGTAATAGGAATTGGAAAATTAATTATCGCTATTCTTTTATTCTCATTTAAAAGTTGCTTCGGTTCCAACATCAACAACAGTCATTTGGATTACTTTTACGGAATGTTAGCAATAGCACTGTGCCTTGTGAGTCCTCTATACATCACAAGCCTTTACTTTTCGGTTTATCCCGATATTAAAGGAGTAGAGCAGAGTTTAGAAGGTCGGTTGGAAGATCGAGTCACATCTGTACTAACTTCTTTGGGAGGGTGATCTGAAAGGTGGAATTGAAGGTCGAAACTTGTTATTAAATAAGCCAAATATGGGTGGTGAGACTTCTTTTTTCTTTTCATTTTCTTTCTTTTACTTCATTTTTTACCATTTCTATTTTCTATCATTTTTTTGGTTAAATTATACTTTCCTCCCTTGAACTATTACCTTTATTTCACTTTATACCCTCAACTATTAAATTTCTCACATTACACCTTAAAATATCAATTTTGATTGATATCGCTCGAATAGATAATGGTTGTCAACTTTTTAACGGTAAATGCACATGTGAGTGGTTTGTACTATCAATAAACAATTGTCTATTGCACATATAAGTCAAAAATCAAGAAAAATATCTATCAATGACTTTGCTCTTCTTACTTTCTAAATTTTCTTCCTTTTGCCGACCTTCTTTTTTTTCCAGCAACCATTTAGTTACAAAAAAAGTAAAATAAAGTATTTCTAGGCACTTAACGGGAAACCTTTGGGGTTTTTTTCTCTTATTTGATAGATTTTCAAGTTTGTCGTTATCTATTAGAGTAATATGAAATAAAATTGGTACTTTAGTATACAATATGAGAAATTGAAACAAGATAACAGTTCAAAGGATAAAGTATAATTTACTCATTTTTTTCCTTCCTAACCAGAAGAATCCAAAGTTTAATGGTTAAGTTGAGGTATATCTACCACAATTACATCTTCACAATGAATTAAACAATTAAGTATAAGAATCTTTTCTAACCAGGACAACCCAAAAACATCATAGAGATTGAAGTAATGAATTTGTCAAATTTATGATTCACTCTCAATCTCACACAGACAATCCCAACCAAGAAAACAATTACAAGCAAAACCACTATGAATGATTTGAATGCCAAACAATCAAATACATGGTATCTGTATGTGCATCAATTGCAAGTGTATATGTAAAGAGTAATGTTATTTGAACCTAAATATCTGACCTCATTTACTAACGTGATTCACTATGAAACTACATCATCAAATCACAAATGAGTTCAGATTTCTAGGTCTGATAACATTACTCATATGTAAGTAAACAATAAGCACACAAACAATTTGTTGATGCGGAAATCCTTCAAAAAAGAACATAGGGAATCAATCGAGGTTCACTAAATCCTAATTCACAATCTCAAAGTCAATCTACAAGTACTAAAGTCTTATACCTCAATCAATACCTTTGCTATATGCTTCTTTCCTTCAATAATCACTCTGTCGACACTCCATATTCGATGTTATGGATGTTTTCACTTGAACTCACCACTGTATAAATCATTTAGGGCTCGAGCAATCTTAGGATGCACCCAAGACTCTCAGTAATGCACACTTCTCCAATGGTTTGGTTGATCTCCAAACTAGATCTTCTTCTCCAATGTGTAAGGTTGGATTAAAGTATCAAGATTGATTTTTCCTTAGTCTCTAGGAATCTAGAATTGTTCAAGAATCTCTTAAAATTTGAGAGGCTAAAAATAAGCTTAAAAAAGAGATACCTTAACTTGGGAAAGCTCCTCTATTTATAGGCTCGGTATAGGGTTTGCTTGGGGAGCAAGTAAACTAAAATTCGCAAATGATCGCTCAAGCAATAAGAGGATGGTTAGAGAACGATTGTGACTCAAATGAAAAAAGGATTCAACCCAGACTAGTAGAGTAGGGACCGCTCGTTCGAGTCATTTGACAATCACTTGAGCGACTCAGAGGGCGGACTCGTCTACCCAACTTGTTAGCCTTTCTTGATTTTATCCCTAAGTTTTCAAAGACTACTTTAGCCGAAAGAAAATGAGTAGAAGACGGTCCCCACTAGTTTTTAAGTTAGAAACCAAGCAAAAACTAGTTCTATTGAGCACTAAAGAGTGTTGCTCAAATAGAGTTTGATTAATGACTCAATCTTTTGTTTTCAAAGCACAATAAAATAAAGGTTTAGAAAAGATTTTTTTTGAAGAAAACCTATGAGTCATTAATGGATTAAATATCGATTTTATTTTACCCTAATCATTGTAAGTCTAAAATTAAATAAAGAGTTCTTAGGTCTCTAAGATCATTACATTTAACATAAGCTTAAAGGTCATTCAGAGAGTCTTTGATGTGTTGTTGTAGCTGGAACTCCACCTTTCATTTTTTGCTTTTGAGTCTTCAACTTTGTAGTATCATGTTTGTGGAATAGGTTGAAATTTACAAAAAAGACTTCTGAAAATTAGTCAATAGCAAACATATTTCTAACTGCATATTAATGAATATAGAACTCCATTTTCATACATCATAGAGCAATCTCCTCTCACTTTGTTCAATTTCACTCACTCGTGTTCAAATTTTGTATCTTTGATCAATTCATGTGTAATGTGTGTGAAATCAAAGTCTGACACCACTATGAATTTGTCTACATCAAATCATTAATAAAACTCTACATGAATTCCTAACATATTATCAAAGTAAGTATATAACCAGTTAGTGGGTGCCCTATTTAAAATTTTCCTTTTCTCATCTGTTTAGACACTCCCCATATTTAAAAAAAAATTGGTTTATTGGAGATATTTAAGGGTCTTCTACCAAAAGGTAACATATTCTAGAATCCATTTATGATGCTAAGAAGTTTTTACAATCTTTGGGATTGGGGATATGTTCTCATTCATGCATGTAAATATGATTGCACAATATTTTGAAAGGAGAATAAAAATCGAGAAAATTGTCTAGAATGTGGAAAATCCAGATACAGGATCCTGCATTATTTTTCATTGAAACCAAAGTTGAAGAGACTATACATGCTAAGGAAGACTACAGTGAATATGAGAATAAAAGAGGATAAGTGTGTGGATGATAAGAATAGGTCAAGACATTCCGCCGATGATGTAGAATGACATGAATTTGATTTAAAATATCTTGCCTTCACTCGACATCCATAGAAGGCATCAACAAGAATTTACCAAGTGGTTCAAGAAATGAGTAAAGAATATTTTATGCAACATTAAGCATACTACATTGTTTGTTTTATGACAAACATTGTAGTATTGTTTATGAAACATTATATTTATACTTCCATAAAAAAAAAGTCTTTTGTTGCTAACAGGGATAAAAAATGGAGACCTCATTAAAAGAAAAGAGCCAGCTACCGTGTGTTTCATGTTTTGAGTTGTTTCTTGGAACATGATTTTTTTGTTCCTATTTTTTTAGCTTGTTTTCAAGCCAACTTAGATGAAACAAAAAAGAGAAATGTGTTTGGAAAAAACGAAAAAAAAAAAAAAAAAACACCAAACAAAAAGTCAAACAAACGCACCTTAAGGTTATCACCTTCAGAGCAAAAGTTACAATGGTTATAGATTGGGTGATTATTTTGACGAATTACATTTTGTACCCTAAAAGATTTTAAATTTCTTACTTTATACTCTTAAATATTAAATTTCCTATATTGCACCCTGAATATATCAAAAAAAGTTGCAATGTGGCCTTTCTGTTAATTTTTTGTTAGTTTTTTCGTCAGTATCAATAGGTTGGTTTTTGAAAAAAAAAAAATAACCGAAGCTAACAGAATAGTCAGATCATAACATTTTGATACATTAAATGTGCAATATGAAAAACTTAATCTTTAAGCGTATAAAGTAAAAAAAAAATTAAAATTTTTCCGAGTGCAAAGTATGAAAAGCCCTTATTACTTTCAAAGGCAAATTTATTGTTTTTAATACCATATTTAGAGAAAAAATTACACTGATTGTAGGTTAGATTACTATTTTTAAAGGTAGAGGTACCTCCTTTAGATGTGAGGTTATAACATGTTGATGTAAAATTACATTGGTAAAAGTAAGGTTACCACCTTTAGAGGTAAAGGGAACAACTTCTTGAGTTAAGGTATACCTGTAAAGGTAAAGTTAGCATCTTTAGAAAAAACAATTACAACGGTTATAGGTTAAGTTATTGCCTCTAGAGGCAAAAGTGCCACCTTCAAAGGTAAGGTTAACACTTTTAAATGAAAAGTGAAAATGGTTATACATTGGGTTACCACTTTCAAAGGCAAAAGTACCACTTTTAGAGGTAAGGTTACACCCATAAACGTAAGGTTACCTACTTTAGGAGGAAAGTTTCAACAGTTATATGTTATGTTACTACGTCAAGAGGCAAAGGTACCAACATTTAAACGCAATATTATTACTTTTAGAGGTAAAGTTACAAATAATGGTTATATATTGACTTACTATTGTCAAAGGTACCACATATAGAAGTGAGGTTACAATATATTGATGTGAGGTTAAACCCATAAAGGTAAGGTTACCTCCTTTAGGGAAAAGTTACGACTGTAGTAGTTTGCATTACTACTTTCAAAGGCAAATGTACCACCCAAAGTTACACCGTTGAAGGTAAGATTACCTCCTTTAGAGGAAAAGTTACGATGGTTATAGGTTAAGTTACTACTTTCAAAAGTGAGGTTTAATTACTTGAGATTCTGTTACAATTTGTGCAGACAAAATTACCATGTCATGGGTAAGGTTATAACCCTTTAAAGTAAAGGGTGAATTATACTTTACACCCTAAAAAAATTTAAGATTCTCATTTTATACCATTAAAAATTAAATTTTTTATATTGTATCCTAAATATATCAGTGTTACAATGTGAACCTTCTGTTAATTTTTCTGTTACCACCATTGAAGATTAAGTTATAATTATTTGAGGTTATCTCCAGAATATCTATATAATAAATCAGCTAGTAAATTAAATTGTATATCATATACTAGTAATTGTCCGTGCTTAAATGCACGAAATAACGAAATATTGAATTAAAACTTGAAGAATACTATCGTGCATATAGGCACTTTGCAACCTAAAATAAACCATCAATTTGAAATAATTTTTACATCATTTGCTTCAATTAAATAAATTGAAATAAATCTAGTACCCACTAATTTTTCAAAAATTTCGACAGAACTTCTAAAAATAAGAGCCCAAGAAGATTTCAACATGTCTATAGAACTAACAATTATACACAACAATCATAATAATG